CGTCTGGGCCGCGCGCCGACGGAGGGGCGACAACCCGCGCATCGGGAGGGCCCAGCCCCACGAGTGGCGGCCGCTCACCTGAGGACCCGGCCGAAACCGACAAGCGGAGGCGGAATGGAAGAGCGTGTGAGCCGAAGGCCACAAGACGACGGCGTGCGCACAGCGGGCAGAGGCGCTCGCTCCCGGAGCGTGTTTTCAAACGCTTCGTCCCTCACGCGGCCGCGTCTCCTTCCGCCGCCCGGAAGTGAGAGCCCCTCCCGCGCCGCGCCGCACTCACGTGACCGCGGCCCGCAGCCGCGCGCAGCCAGAAGGAGGGAAACTGTAGGCCACGCCCGTTTGGGGCGGGGCCACGCCGGAAGCCGCCGGGAAGGGGCGGGGCGGGGCGGAGTCTAGCCGGGGACGCGCGGACAAAGCAGGGACCTAACAGGGACATGAGATCTCATCCCTCCTACCTGACCTGTGTCCCTGAGGACATCTCCAGGTTAGTTGTGAGTTTTCTTCTTCCTCCAGTGGATCACGGTTCTTCAGACCTGAAGACGCATCCAGAGGAGAGTATAAAATGAAATGCATGAAGCAAAAGAAAAGTTTAGAGACCACGAGGATAAGATTTCAGGGGGCCTTAGCCTGGAATGAAGAAGAGCAGATAAGTATTAAAAGAAAGGCAAACCACACCTAACAGCTAGGGCCTGAGAGTTCTAGTGCTTCCTCTAATCCAGTATTTTTTAGCCTATTATTCCTAGTGAAAATGTGTGTCAAGAGAAGTTAAGAAAGAAAAATGCTTAGAAAGAAGATGAGAAGGGCAAGAAGAAAGAACCTTTCAGGGGTAGTCTTGTCCAAGATTGGCATGGTAGCATAGAAGAAAAAACAAACAAAACTCCCAAGTATGGAGTGTTGACCTTGGTTTAAATTTGTCTTTACAGTTTACCAGATAGAAGACAGTAGTGTCTTGTAGCTTATATTGAGCCACACTCAATATGGTAGGTAGGAATAAAACAAATATGTCAGGAATCTGGGAGACGAAATACTGAAATTAGGACTGTGTCTATTCTGCCATCAAGCTTAAAGATATAGTACCCTCCCAAGAGCCCATCCCAACTTTTGCTAGCAACACAACCACAATCAGTCTTGGATCTACCATAAGGCAACTTTTTGGAAGTCTTTGGCATTATATGGTATTCAAAACTATGAGATTCTAGGCTGGGAAGGTGGGTTAGTGGTAGAGTGCTTGCCTTGCATGCATGAGGCCCTGGGTTCAATTCCTGAGCACCATATAAGCAGAAAGAGCTAGAATTGACACCACGGTTCAAGTGATAGAGCTCTATCCTTGAGCTGAATAGCTGAGAGAGCACGCAGGCCCAGAGTTCAGGGCCCATGACTAACCAAAAGACAAAAAAAAACCTGTGAGACTGGATCAGTAAGGAAAACGTTTGTCAGCCAGACATCTACTCTGAATTCCCAAATCATACCTATACGCTTAGTTAACATATCCTTCAGATACCAAAAATACATGTCATGGTTCAAAATCCAACTCCTTAATATCTCTTTGGAAATCTCTTCTTACAGCTTCTTCACCTCAAGAGCAAGTCCATCTTGCCAGTTAACTCAAGCCAAAATCTAGGTTTCTCTCACACCTTACATTGTAATCCATCAAGAAATCCTGTTAACTCTACCTTCAAATGCATCCTGACTCCCACCCCTTTCACTACCTCACCCGGTACCGCCAGGGCAAGCCACCTCTTCATCACTGCTGAAAAATCTCAGAACAAGTCTTTCTGCTTCCATCATTGCGTCTCTTTTTTTTCAATGTGTCATTGGAGAAGCTGTATGATTATTTTAAACTATAGGTCAGATTGGGTCTCTTCTGTGTAAAACTATTCATTGCCAGGCCTTCCCACCCCCATTTCATCAGGGGGGAAAAATGGCAAAGTCCTTCTGATGGTTTCAAGGCCTTCCATATTCTGCTCACAACCCTCAGCCTGTGAGCACTCCTACTGTCTTCTTTATACTATGCTTCAGCCACACTCATTTGTTTGTCTAATTGATACATGAAACAAGCACCTACATGCCATTAGTCCTTTGCATTAGCTTTTCCATCTGTCTGATTTATGCTTTCCTCCCTTTCCTATAAATCTACATGACTAACAACCTTTCCTTGAACCTGCTCAAATATCTGCCCAGGCACATTTACTCTGACCACCACAGTAAAAATCACAACCTGCCTTGCCCTGGGAGTAGCCATCCTCTTCCTTTTATTATTATTTTTCTTATAACATTATGTTCTAACATACAACATGATTTACGTACTGTTTATCCTGTCCATCACTAGCATGGAAGCTCCATATGGAATCTTTGGCTGTTCTGCTCTACATATATTAAGCATACCTAGAGCAGTTGTTGGTGTGTAGTAGGCCCTTGAATAAATGTCTAGGAACCCCTTTCAATATAGTAGCACTCAACCACAGTAGCTCTTATGGATGCCCAACTTTTTGCTCTAAGACAAAGGTAATAGACTCAGCCAGGTAAGCAAGCTTGGTGGTAGCTTGACTGACAGCAGTACTCATGACCTGGGTAAAAGAAACATGCAGTCTTTAGCAACAGAAAATGTTTGTCATGAAGAAATGCAAATCTCATTTTCAAGCAGATACCAAAACATTTATTTGTGTTGTGATTTGAATATTGTGTGTCCCCCTGAAGGGTTTTGTGTTGAATACACTTAGTCCTCAGCTGGTAGCTTATTGAGAACTAATTGTTTTATGATGCAGCCAATTTTATCCATGGTTTAACCCCTTGATGAGTTCATCCACCATGAGGTGAGCAGCTTTGCTTTCCTATACCCTAGTTGCTGGCGGGGGAGGGGGGGGACACACAACATAGCAGTGGAGCCAAGCTGAAAGTGACCTGGCACATTTGAAATTGTGAGTCAAAATAACTCTTTCCTCCTTTAAGTAGGTTTTCACAGTGCTGAAAAATGACTAACACAATCAGTGAGCAAATACATTTTCTGGCTGATTTTTAAATCTGTATGTGCCAAACAAAGTATGAACAGGTTGCTAGTTTACTACTATCTATAGTTTATGATACAGAAAGTTTATACATAAAAACAGGCTTTCCGGATTCTTTTTAACAAGTGAACTCAACAGTTACAGGGATTGTCTGATACCATATCAGAATACAAATACCAAGAGAAAATTTACTATAAACAAAATGAGAATTCAGAAAGAACAATGACATAAATATTCAGAAATTGATAGTCTCCACATACACAGATATTAACCTGTTAAAGATGGGGAAAGAGAAGTGGTGCTGTAGCTCAAGTGGTAGAGCGCTCGCCTTGAGTTGAAGAACTGAGGGACAGCGCCCAGGCCCAGAGTTCAAGCCTCATGACCGACAAAAAAAAAAAAAGATGGGGAAAGAGGCCCTATTTAAAATAGCAGTGAAGCTGGGCGCTGGTGGCTCATGCCTGTAACCCTAGCTACTCAGGAGGCTGAGATTTGAGGATCTCGGTTCCAAGCCAGCCCAGGCAGGAGAGACCATGAGACTCCTATCTCCAATAAACCACCAGAAAACCGGAAGTGGCCCTGTAGCTCAAGTGGTAGAGCGCCTGCCTTGAGCTGAAGAGCTGAGGGACAGCGCCCAGGCCCAGAGTTCAAGCCCTACGGCAGACCAAAAAAAAACAAAAAACAAAAAAATAAATAAATAAAATAGCAGTCAAGCCAGGCACTGATGGTTCATACCTGTAATTCTAGCTTCTCAGGAGGCTGAATCTGAGGATCGTGGATTGAAGACAGCCCAGGCAGAGAAGTCCATGGGATACTTATCCCCAATAAACTACTCAGAAAAAAAATTTCAGAAGATATTGTGGCTCATGTAGTAGAGTGCTAGCCTTGTTTTAAAAAACTCAGGGACAGTGCCCAGGCTCTGAATTAAACCCGGGACCAGAAAAGAAAAAAAAAAGATTAAAATAGCAATCAAAGCAGATAAAATTTGGTTTGGATTTGAATAGTGAACATCCTAAAGGTGACAATTACCCTTAAAATTAATACATTATAAAGTCAGCATCTTAAGTCAGTAGTCTAAAGATGACTAGGTTACATAAACACAGAGGCATACTGATACCTCTGTTCTATATTGATTTTTACATTCCAGATATATGCCCAATAGTGTTATAGCATGGCCATCAAGTAAGCCTATATTTAGTTTTTTGAGGAACCTACAAACTGATTCCCATAGTGGTGAGAGACTGGATTACATTCCCACCAACAGCGTAGGTGATCCTTTTTTCCCACATCTTTGCCAGCATTTATTAGTTTGCTTTTATGATTTCCATTCTGCTAGGGTGAAGTGGAAACCTCGTATAGTCTTGATTTGCATTTCTTTATGGCTGAGGGTGCTGAACATTTCTTCATATATTTATTGACCATTTGTACTTCTGACTGGCTTTTTTCATGTATTCATTGGACATTTGTACTTCTCTACTATATTTTAAATTCATTTTCCCATTTGTTAATTTGATTACTTGTTTCTTTGCTATTTTTTAGCTCTTGTATGTTCTGAATATTAATCTTTTTTTGGGGGGGTCCAGTCATGGGGCCTGAACTCTGGGCCTGGGTGCTGTCCCTCAGCTCTTCAGCTCAAAGCTAGTGCTCTACCACTTGAGCCACAGCACCACTTCTGGCTTTTTTTTCTTTTTGCTTACGTGGTGCTGAGGAATCGAACCCAGGACCTCATGCATGCAAGGCAAGCGCTCTACCACTGAGCCACCTTCCCAGCCCCATGAATATTAATCTTTTATCTGATGAATAGTTGACAAAAATTTTCTTTCTGTAGTTTCTGTGTGTGTCTGTGTGTGTCTATGTGTCTGCGTGAGCACATTCCCATACACTGCTACTAGGATTTGAACTTAAGGGTATTGTGCTCTCTTGCTTACCTTTCTTGCTCATGGCTGGTACTCTATCACTCTGAGCTATGATTCCAGTCTGGGTTTTTGCTGATTAATTGGAGATAGAGTCTGGAGAATTTTTCTGCCTGAAATGACTTCACACATCCTCCAGGTCGGGTTACTGAATAGCTTGGGTAATATATTGTTCAATCTCTATGTATTTGAATGTTTTCAATTGTATTATATTAATTGTATCAATCACAATCAAATAAAACTAGAAATCAACCACAAAACAAACCACAGAAAAGGTTGAACTACATGGAGATTGAACCATTGCATTGTTG